ATCTCATTTTCAAAATACATTAGAATTCCTTTACAATTTCCCTTTGGTAGTTCTGCTATGAAGAACTACAGGTAGTTCTTGTTGAACAATCATTTGTTCAGTGATCATTTGAAGTTATAACAGTGCTGAACAAGTGGGGTCCATTATGATGGATCCTTGTTAGTTGCAGTCTTTGTAGCATTCCCACAATCATGTGATCACAACCAGGTGCTTGGTATCCAGTTCACAACAGTCACAGCACATTGCAGTGATATGATCACCATTTGTGACCTTTACTTCCAGCTTCCCCCAAGGAAAATCAATGGGGAAGCTAGCAGGAGGTCACAAATATCAGACCTATCACTATGGAACATTATGACAGTGGAATATTTGTCTAACAATGAAAATTAGAATTTCTGCAACTGCATCATAACTTTATGACATTCACTTAGTGACAGAGTTGCCAGACCCAATTTCCATCATTAAGTGAGGATTATATCCCAACCATGTGAATGTTTATTTTATTTTATTTTTGAAATTCTAATTTAGTTGCTGAGGGTAAAAAATGTCAAGATGGCTGCCCACACATGTAAAAAGGGGGCAGGTTTGTGCTTGTGACTACCATTTTAACATTTCTATGCTTCTATTTGTTTCCCATTAAATGAATAAGAATTTTCTAAAAACTGCACAAAAATGACAATATTCTGAAATGACTGTGTTTAGCAAAAATGGAGGGAAGCATTTTTCAAACAATTTGTTTTCAAAGTAAAGGAATTATTCTAGATTTAATTTTGAGAAAATGTGCTAAAGAAGGCTGACAAAAAGCATTTTTCACTTTTGGGTGAGTTAAAATCACCTGTTAAAATCAGGGCTTTTTCCTTCTGAGTTAATGTAATACATGATTTCATGCCAGTTTCATGTAAATGTAAAAACTCTGGCTGCAGGTCTTCAAAATCTCCCCACCCCCCAAATATTCCAAAAGTTTTTAATTTTCCTGACTAAAAATTTGTAAAAAAAATGATGAATTAAAAAAAAAGTAAAACGGTCTCAGGAATCAGAATTGAATTAATACAACTCCTCATAATTCTGTTGACAAAGCAAAATATATAGACTATTTAATCCTAATAATTTATACAATCACCATAAATCTAGTTGTTAATTTTGTATACAAGTGTAATAAATTTTTCATGCACAGCAAAATAAATTTACTCAACAAATATTAAGATATGTCAGCATTTGATGAAAACTAGCTCCTTGAATTCAGTTATACTTTTCAGAGGTCCCCAATCCCTGATCCATGGACCAGCACTGGCCTGAGGCATACCAAAAACCGGCCCATGCAAACAAATGAAGCCCCATTCATGGGATATAGGCAGCACACAAAACCACGGCCCTTTGGTCCGCAGAAAAATTCTATGGAATAGATCCATCTGCTCCAGTGGTGGGTTTCAAATTTTTTTAGAACCTCTTCTATAGGTATAGCCTGCTTTGTGGGAATGGCTTGCCGGCCATGTGACTGGGTGGGAGTTGCTTGCCAGACATGTGATGGGGTGGGCGTGGCCAACTTATAAAATGTGGTGAAACTCACTTAATAACACTCTTGCTTAGCAACCAAAATGTTGGCTCAGAAACTCTGGCATTTGAAGCACAGAAGTCTTAAAGCTGTCAAGTTACAAGACTCTTGCACCTCTAACCCTTTAGGAAAAAAAAGCCCAGGGGTGTTCAAACTTGACAGCTTTCAGACTTGTGTACTTCAACTCCCAGAATTCCTCCTCTCGCTTTTCATCTTGATGATGTCCAGACGTGCAGGGGGAGGGGGAGGGAACTGAACTGGTTCTAAACGGCACTGGAGATTTGTGGAACCTCTTCTATAGAAGAGGTTAGAACTGGCAGGAACCCACTGCTGGTTTGCTCTAAAATATGCTATTTCCCATCATCTCCTAAATCAGTTTGGGTAATCAGAGGTATATAATTGGAACGGGGAATTCAGTTTTCCTCACTTGAAGTAATTCACCTTTAAATAAAGTCCTTCCTGCCTATTGAAGATAGAGAGCCATCTCTGGCTCTCTGATAACAATGTGATATAATATTAATATTATTTTAAATGACAAAAAGGCCTACACATTTATATCAATTTTTTAGAAAGAGCTCAAAGTATACATTATACCTATTGTTGAAAAATGCTACCAAATGTTGACAAGCAACTCATAAACTACTGCTGCAAATCTGAAATTCCACACATCTATTTTGCACTTACGTTGTTGTAATATCTTAAGTCTAAACCAGGGATGTCAAGCTCACATCTTCACAGAGTCATCACTTGACGTATTGGAACTTCCCCCCCTTCTCTAAACTGGGCATGGGCATGGCCAGCCTGTGACGCATCTGGCCTGGGGACAAGAGTTTAACAGCCCTGGTCTAAACCAACTAAATAATGTAATGTATCCCTCAAACCTAGCTATTTTAATCTGTAAATTATGTAACTTCCTATGATTAACTAGTTAATAACTAAATAATCAATTTATGGCTTAGCGTGATGTAAGAAGCCGGCTAATGAGAAAGATTTGTGTATTTGAGGTTTATGCATATGCATTATTGAAGCTACCTGCTGTTTTTAAGCTGCTACGGCAGCTATTTTTACTACTATGAAGAAGCTTGTTTAAAGGATACTTAACTAACCTGGATTATCTCCTTAGGCTATAAAAATCCCAATTTAAAATTCATTTCTTTTTTTAAAAATGATAATTATATCTTTAACAGAATTATCTAATGCAGTAAAGGTGAGGGACATCATGCAATCAGAAGTGATGTTACCAGTAGAACAGTGGGAGTGCTGGAATTGAAGTATGCAAGCAGGGTGGAGAATGTGTAGGTATAAGGCATGCAGGAAATAAGCAATAACACTTATTTGCATCTGGAATGAATTCCACAGTGCATTAGATTTTAAAAATCACAACTTGCTTTACATTAACAATTCTAACAGCTTCCTTTTCCAGGATCCCTGGAAGGCCTGGTTCCCATTTTAAAGAAGTACTGGGAAAGAGAAAAGAATAATAGCAACAAGATGGTGGACACAGTTCCACCATTGGAAGACTGAAAGAACAGATTATGGATAGATCACCATGGAAAAGGTATATCTATGTAGTCTCATAGTGCTGAAAAATGAGTTCATTGTGCTAGTAATGGAGGCATAAGTAAGATTGCCTACTACAAATTTTGGATTACTACAGCATTTTTTTTCTTAAACAGTTAACAATACACTCGATGGTACATAATAAAAAATCAATCAATGTAAAGTTAATGTTGCAACTGATGCTGGATTTTTGGAAGCAGATCATTTAAAATTTCCATAGTCCAAAACTCCCAAATTAGATGTACTATTAGGTATAGTAATAGCAATAGCACTTAGACTTAAATTCACAGTGCTTTACTGCCCTCTCTAAGCGATTTACAGAGTCAGCATATTGCCCCCAACATCTGGGTCCTCATTTTACGAACCTCGGAAGGATGGAAGGATGAGTCAACCTTGGCCTGGTGAGATTTGAACTGCCAAATTGCAGTCAGCCAACAGTCAGAAATCGTCTGCAGTTCTACATTCAAAGTACTGCTCCACTGCAGATTCTGGCAAATTAATAACAATAGGCTAAGTTGCTGAATATAGGTGGGCTGAGATAAGAAAGTAAATTATGAGATCTACTAAGGACAGGAAATACAAACAGCCACCAAGGCTTATCCCTGGTCTAGTTCTTGTATTGGTACAACATAGAATCAAATGATGGGCTAATGATACCGGAGAAGTAAGCTGTTAATACTTTCTCCTCATCCATGAATATTCCTTCACATACAATATTTATGTTGATGGAGCATGACAAAAGTGGAAAAACATAGGAGTCATTCCTATATGATTATTTTCTACTCTTCTATGATGACTTTTCAATAGGCAAAAAACATTACAAGAACATTTTCAAAGGACTCTGCCCCATTCTTTCAGAACTTCTGCATATTGATTCTTCATATATTTCTTCATGATACAAACATTGCCCCATCTCAGAGTATCATCATCCTCTTTGTAACTTATCAGAATTTTCTAAACACATTTGCCTTGGAGGGCTGGATTTTAGTTTTGTCACATCCAGGAAGTTTATTCTAAGTATCTCATTTCACTGTATTTTTCCCCATCAACTTCAGTACCCTTTCACCTACCCAGCTATCTTGCAAAGAGATTACTGGGCTGCCTTTTTTGTAAACAAATAGATAATTTGGAAGAAAGAAAACAGATGGGTAAAAAGATTCCCCCCCCTCCCCGCAAAAGAAAAGAAAAGAGATTTTTAAAGAGAAATAGTACCGAACCAGAAAGACCTATATATGCTCAGTGGAAAGGGTCTGCTGGCATTTTATGAAATGGCTGACATTCTGCCCAGATATTATAAGTTGCTAGACTATTCCATTACCACTATTACAAGATTAATAAATAGTTGTTATCGTTCAGGTCTGAGTTATGCTGGGACAGCATCTAGGTAACCTGATAAGATCATGAGCCTGCCCAATGAAGAAGTTCAGTAATTCGACTTCCCAAAAGGCTATTGAAGATCATCTATAGGATGTGGAGACAGCCTTGGGCTTTCGACTCGGAGATACGGTCTGTAGTATCCTGAAGGACTAAACTCCCATTTAGGTCGCGAATGCAATCTAAACGTTCGTTTACGCGTACAGCAAGCATTCCCCATAGCTAAGATTCAGCGACCTGTTTTCGATATGATAATAAAGGGCGAAGAAGGAAACTGGCTCTGCTCGGGAGTGCAAGGTGCACTCACCTTTCCCTACAGCAGATTTCGACCCACAGTGCCCCCCTTGTTTGGTAGTAAAAGGCAGAGAACCGGTGGATCGCCTGATGCCCGGCTGGAGTAGGCAGCGAGGAGGGGGATTGTGGGTCAAGGTCTCTCATTTTTTCGTTCCAGATCAGGAGGCGCTAGGGCCCTTCCCCAGCGCCGATCTCCGTGCTCCGTGAAACAGCAGAGGGAGGGGCCGATAGCAGATCCAGGCGAATTTACAGCAAGGAACCCGCGAAGGATCCGGCGAATTGGCTGCCTCCCACTGCGCAAGTGACATTTTCGTCATGTTGGTCCTGGTCTCCGATCCTTGCCCACCTACTGTTTAGCTCGATGAGTTCCTGGCCTGATTTGAGCGACCTTCCTTTGCCTCCCACCGCTCAAGATATAAGACAGATCCAGTGAAGCCTCCCGTATCCTGGCCAGCAGTAAAAGTGTCCTGACCGCTGCTCCTGAGAAAAGTAAGGGACTGGTTTTTCTGTGAGCAATCAGGTGTGTATGTTTGTGTGTGAGAGAGAGACATTCGCTATTAAAGATTAGCAGAGGGAGAGAGCCGCTGCGTTTCTGTACAGATGGTCTGATTTGGAAGGACTGAAGGAGAGAATGTAGGATGCTGTACATCCAGGGCAGCCTTTCCCAACACGCACCTTCTATATGTGTTAAGAAAAGATTGTCGTCATCACCAATAGTGTATAGGGCATTGTAATCTCTATACAGTGGGGGGGGGGGGAATTAATAAAGAAAAGTGAAAAACACAGGAAGGCATATCTATATGGCCTGTGTCTGCCCAGAGGTTTGTAGGATTCATAGACCTAGAGAAAACCCCTTCAGTAATTGATGAATTGTCCTTAAATCTAGATCTAAAAGATTTGAAGAATGTTCAGACAGAGATTCAGCCAAAATAATAAAAGCTTAATAAATTTAGATACATCAGGCATATTTTTTAAAGAGCAAATTTTGGTCAATATAAGCAATATAAAGTTGCTTAACCATTTGAAACATTTTTTAAAGATGAAAATTGCTGTTTTTAGCCTTGACTTAAAGATTGCCATTCTTTAAATGCTTCTCCACGATGAATGTTAGAATTATGCTTAGGGATAACATGGGTGATGACTAAGTATATTTTAGGTTCGATTTTGACTTAACAGTCAAAATGCAGGCTTTGTCCTGATAAATTAACTACTTAAGAGCTTCCTGGCCTACTAATACCCATACCATCAAAGAGGTTATTCAATCTCCAATGGCTCATTAATGACAGCAATCAATGCTTGATCTTAATCCCAGACTACATAAAAGCAACTACAAATCTGTTTTATGATTCCTTTACACACATATATTCTCCACTTGTCTCCTTTCTCCTTCTTTTTCATCAAAACATGGAACATAGGGATCTTTTTATGTCACTTAATTGCTTGTGCATATATATAGAGAATTCCCATGATACACACTTCCTGTTTCTGATGCAGACATGCTTGCTCCTCATCACACATTCCTGTATACGTTTTTTATTTCATCTAAACAGTTCCTATAATATGGAACATGGAATTTGTTCACGCGCATGTTCTAACGCACACTTTTGCTTTTACTTTCTCAAAACGTCATTTTGCATGAATAAATAGAAATCCTTTTGTGTATATCTTTTGTGTTCCTCCTCTCTTAAACACTCATTTATCATCCCTTTTCTACTATAGCTTTCTACATTTGTTGCCCTATATTTTAAAAGGAGAGAATAAACTATCACATCTTATACCTGAATTTTTATGCTTACTGACAAAAAGTTTTTGTAGGAAGCATTGTGCTTGTTTTAAAGTTATCTGAGAACAGGTGAGAGCAGCAACATGTAACCTTGGATTACAAGTTTGGAAAACAGATGGAGGACTTTTTTTGTTCCCAGTGAAGCCCCTTGCTTTACTAGGTCCCACATTCCTTGTTGTATCTACATATGCTAGGTAAGTGGAATGAACTTTACCATTCAGATGCACAAGGAGGGAATCCTCCTTCCAAATTTAAAGGATTAAAAATGTTTTCCCCTGCTAGGCCATTTCCTCCTGCTCCCCAAGAGTTACCATTTTTATGTCTTTTCTCTGCTGTCTCCTACCTGTAATCTGAAATGCAGCAATTTTCTATTCTAAGACATGTTCAGACCAAGTCTCAGTAATACCTGCTTCACCCGTTTGCAAAATTCATTTATTAATACCTCTCTTCTCTACTTCCCAACTTTTCCAAAGTAACTCCTTCTATTGGTTGTTGCTAATCTTATTTGTAGGTATCAAATTGTTTTGACATCAAAATAACTTGCATTTTTTCTTTTTTTTTAAAAAAGGTATATTTTTTGTTAAAAAAATGTTGAACAAACATATCTTCTGCTATGTAGCTTGAACAAAAAGAGATGTCTTCTGTGTTGTCCAATTAGCCCCATGAACAAACAAGTTAGTACTAATGATAGAGGGGCCTCTGATCCAGTTCATCTGATGCAATGTAGGTTTCTTTAAGCAGATGTATTTAACACATTTGTTGAGTTCATAGTGCAATATAAGCAAGCTAATTTCATAGGGGATGACATTTTTCAATTTCATGAAATCCAGGAAACAAATATTTTCCTAGGTAGCTAGTCACTTGTAATTGAATTAAGAGTTTAGAGCTGGTTGTACTATCTTTGTTTAATCTTATATTCCTCTCTGATATTAATAATTAAATATAAAAGGCTTGAAATTTTAGCTATTTTTAAAACAGCTATTGTTTTTATGGAGATGGAGTTGGTTAATAATATTAATAATCTAGCCAGAATATTGCTACTTCTTTTATGTAGTCTTGTAATCTCCTATAGAAAACACCTCTTCAATAAGCCTGGGGGGTGGGCATAGCCCCCCCCCCCGGACCTTTGGCGCAGTGTAGATACCTGTAAGTCCAAGCATGGAAGCAAGGTGGAGAGTAAGGCAGGGGATCCGGATGTGCTGCTGGCTGCCTGGCGCAGAGGAGACTTGCAGGAGGATTGTGTGGCAGCATCGGCAGCAGGAGGCAGAGGCATGGGGGAGGGAGCAGATGATTCCAATGCCCCCATGTGGGCGTCTGCTTGGTGCGGCGGTGAACAAGCCAAGAGCTAATGGGATTGAGTGGGTGACATATTGGGATTGTCTGCCTCCTCCCACCCCCTGTTTCTCTGCCTCCTCCTGGCTATGCCACACAATTTTTGCCCAGAGGGAGAAGAAGCTTCACCTGCTTGCAAATGGGATGCTCCATTTTAAAGTGTCCCATTTGCAAACAGATATATTTTTGAGTCATCCTCATTTCTCCATCAGAACGGAGTGTTTTGCCTGGCTGCATTGCTCAGCCTCCTGCTCCGGTACTCCGCCAGCACCAGAAGACGTGAGCTGGTGGCTACGTGGGCTCCTGCTGCACATGGCTGGTGGTGCTTCTGCCAGTAGTCAGTTATCAGGGTGTGGAGCCACAGGAGTCCTGAGGTAAGCTGGTGTGCATGTCGGGCAGCTCCATCCCCCCCCCTGACTTACAGCGGTGGCACTCAAAAAAATTAAGACACCCGCCAAAATAAGCCCCAGTGCTTATTTTGAGGGCCAAAAGACAATAAGACTGGGTCTTATTTTCATGGAAACACAGTAATTAGTGAGGAGTATCTGGAAAATACCAAATGTGGACAGATTAATTTTTCCTTAGCCACCCCTGCCACTGCCTGGCTGTTCTTTTGGCTTCTGGGGATTTTTCTCATGGAATTTTCTGATCAGCCTGTCTGCTCTTATGTTTTGACTCTTCACCCAAATGGCTGCTGAAAAGGGATAGCCCTTCCACTGTACTAAGTACTGTAACCCCCCCTTGTACAGTCTAGAATCTAGAATTCTTTTTACTTCGTAATGGGTCTCTCCATGTACTGCAATGGGACCTGGGGCTTCCCGAGTCACTGGCCTTAGCTTCGAACCTATCACTGGCTTCAAAAAAAAAAAAAAAAAAAAAACTACTGTGGAAGAGCAGATGTATTTTCCCCAACAGGCATGGGAGTTTCAGCTCCACCATGACTGAGTTAATGATTTTTACAATGGGAAAAGGTCCTATAAACATAGGACACAGCTTTTACAGGGCAGGTGTTTGGAGGAAGGGTAAACTTTCTCTCCTATATAAAAAGTCTTGGGGGGGTCACTTTTTGTCTATCTGCTCCTTTTGCATCTCTCAATGGCTTTGGTGAGTGCCCATTTTACATTCCCACAAGCCTCCTGCAGTGAGTCTATCCATTTAGTCAGGGTTATTGAGGAAGGGGACTCCTGAGAGAACTCGGGCATTGGGACAAACTCCACTCTATGGCCACCTTGAAAGGCATTAAAACCCATGCTGCTGTGTACAATTGTTGTATGCCACCTCAGCAAATGGTAACAGGTCAGCTCAATTGGTTTGCTTGCATGTGCAATAGTGCAACACACTATGTAGCATCCTGCCACAAGTGGCAGCATGGGTGTGACGAACCTCAGAGTATCCTGCTGTGAGTGGTGGCACTGGTGCAATGAGTCTCACTGTTTCCCGCTGCAAGCAGCGGCATACCTTACACATAGTTGGCTCACATTCTTTTCTGCCTTCTCAGAAGGGAAACAAGACTGAAATGAAATGCAGTCAAGTGGAAATGGTCAGAATGCACTTAGAGGAATTTAGCCAAAAGGAAAATGATAGCTGATGGTAGCTTTTTAAAACATTACTTCTTCAAAAAAAAAAAATCCTCCAGAAATTAAAACTGTTTTAATCAGCTGAAAAACAGCTCAGAGACAGCTTTACAGCTTGGAGACAAGCTTGCATGGGCTGCAAAATGAGCCATGTGGCGTCTGGCTGTGAGTGGCCACAGAAGAAGTTGGGCAGTAGCATGATAGGTGTTGGGGCATGGGAGGCCTGGCTGCAGAGGTCCTAAGGTAAGCAGGTAAGACATCCCCCCAAAATAAGACCTGCTGCTTATTTTGGGGGCCAAAAGAAAATAAGACCGGGTCTTATTTTCAGGAAGTATGGTATCCCAGCATAGGCAATCCATTGATATTCTAAACCTTATTACCTAGCTACTTTATTTATGATTAATTTAATTATGCTTTAATAAATCAAACCAAGGGTTTTTTTCTGGATTTTCACAATATGTTTACCCATAAATGAACAACTTGCTTTGGATTTTCACAAAATGCTAGGCTAAAATCTCACAACCTGGTATTTCATTATGTTATCTGAAGACATAATGCCCTTTTAAACAATTGTTTTAAACTTGGTGGATGTTTGCCCTGCTGAAAAAGCTGTAAAAGCTAATTAGTCTGAATTTACTGAGGCAATATAAATAATGGGAATACTGCAATTTTCTTCATTAACACAATTAGGGTAACAAGTAGAACAATGTTTCTTGTAGATTGCAACATAATACTTGAGTGCTGGTGCAATTGCAATTGAAAGTGAGAACCTGGAAGTAATTGTTAACATTTGCATTTTTATGATACAGGCCCTATTTAATCTCTATTCAAATAATGATAACCAAATATATACAAAGAGAGTTAATTGGTTGACTGGAACTCCTGATTTATCTGAGATTGGTAAAGGGATTCTGTAGAGAAAGCCATTCTCATAGATCTAGATTGACAGGGTCATAGTCCTGAATCTTACTCATTGAATAGAAAAACAGGCATTTCTGGAGGCGGGAGAGGTTCCATAATTCCATGCTATGGGGGAAAGCAGGGATTCCTTCTCAATTTTATAAAAGAGACAATTCTAGCCAGGCTGCTTCACAAATCTGAGATTCAAATCCATTCTCAGGATGTATCCTGGGAGAAATATAGCAATCTTTTCTGCTCCTTTTCTCTTTAGCACATTCTCTTGACATATATGTCAAGAGATCCATACACTTGGAGGTATTTGGCAGCATGGAATATAGCTATATCATAGAATCTAGTGCATCAAAGGAATCTGAAAACTTGCAATCTTATTATAAATAATTGGTAAAAATAATTTAGCTTATGATTGTTATGACATATATAAAATGTGAACTAATGATGATAATGATAATAATAATAAAGCTGGATTGTGCAATTCCTGAATAAAGCAGAATAGAAGAGAAATAATAGTCACAAAACACACAGACCTGAAAATAGAAGTAGAATGACTATGGGAAAAGAAAACAAAAGAAAACAAAGATAGGTCCTTATTTAATTCCAAAATTTCCGGAACACCATCATCATCAGTCAATTGCAAAAGGCAGCTTTACCTGAAACAGCTTATATCCTGTAACACTATTGAACATTCACATCTACCAATCCCAGGCACTTGGAAGGACTTGATAGGTGGATTAAAATGCAAATCTAATCTACACATCAGACAACCAATCCTAATAATATGCAATTATCATATACTTTTTCATTCTTGCCATAGCCATGCAAAATGTATTCATATATATGAATAAGCGATTGGCAAATACACACAGCAGACAAGACTGTCACAGTATCTTAAATTGCTTAGAGGTGGCATTTTAAAAATAATAATTTCTAGAGTGCATCCATTTGGGGAAAGCTTCTGTGGACATTAACCATGATGTTGGTTCACTTATTTGCCTATGCCCATCATTCAATGACATGCATGTTATCATCTAGGTTTTAATTCAGATATAATCTGAAATCCTCTTTATAGCATGTAAAAAAGTTGCAGATCAGACAAATCAAAATTACAACATCTACTTGTTAAATGTTTGCTCAACAAGACAGAAGTTCTTTAGTGAAAAAAAGAAGGCAATTCTAGCAGATAACAATATATCTATTATACTGTATATGCAATAAAATATATCTATTATACAACTAATTCAGTCTTTCCAACTAAGGCCTTTCAGATGTCCAAGGAATTTTGGAAGTTGTCATCTTATCTATACAGATAAAACCATTCAAGACAGAGGAGAGCTAACGTCGCGACGGCACGACGTGCAATCTTGGTGCTCTGAGATCGCAGTCGAATTTCTGCCACTGGACAGTCCATTTGGACCTAAACCATCCCGCAGAGACGGTGATTGAGAAAGGCACCTCCTGCTGATCTCAGGGATACCGCAAAGTTCCTGAAAGATCCAGGAATAGCCCTTTTTTTCTGGCAACAGAAATGCAGCTAATGAAGCTGCTGAAGTTGGGACAGCTCTGGAACGGGAAGAAAGTGGAAAGAAAAAGTGTGTCGAATCGGTGAGGAAATTTTATTATTAAAGGAAGAGACTACCCAAGAAAAAAAATTAAGTTAAAATTGAAGACAGAAGACTATAGGCGGCAAGATTGATCTGCATTGAACTTAGTGTGTTATCCAGTTTCTATTTTTTTTCCATGGGTGGAACTTTTGCAGGGGCTCCCTATTTTTTAAACTGAATGGATTAATTCTTTCTTCTTCTTTTTTTACTTTTGC